GATTAATATGTAATTTTAAGGTACATTTGGTGACAGGTTGGAAACCATCCCTCTTACACTCTAAACAAGACATATTTTTCCTTCCCCTTTGCTGTTGAGCACATGCATGTGATGAACAAGTAACCTGTCATCTCCTCATAAAAAATACACTTGATTTTATGAGCTATGTCATCCTTCTTGAAAACTTTTGAACCAATGCTTTTCATGCTTGGTACATCTAGTGAACATATAGTATCTTCTGAAGCAGTACAAAGACTTCTGCCAATAATCAGGGACACTTCTGCCGACTCTTTAGCAACAGTGACTTCTTTCAAATTCCCCAAGTTGACAACGGAGATTTTCTGATCACACAAGATGAGCAAATAGCTGCTCAGAGTGTACAGTTTGTTAACATTTCCAGGGGATTTCACATCATGCAAGCAAGTCCATTTTTTCAGATCCCAGTATTTGATCATTCCAGTGACTTCACAGGAGAACAGGTGTCTGTTGGAAACAGCCAAGGCCGATATGGGTGTACTATGTCCCTCAAGGGTGTGTTGCAACTGATATGTGACCCTGTCCCAAACCTTGATGGTGTTATCTGTAGCACCGGAGAAAATGTGTGAGTCATTAACTACTAATGACCTCACTGATCCCTCATGCCCAGTCAGGATATGAATGCATTTGCAGGATTTTGCATCCCAAATGAGAATTCTCTTGTCAAACGACCCTGAAACCACATGGCACCCAGCTGAGGCTAAACATAAGACGACTCCAGCATGACCAATTAGATCAGTCGCTGCTCCTGTTTCAGGATCCAATGCTTTGATTGCATTACTAAGAAGAGGATCATTTTGTTCAGATCCAGCTTGGGTCTTAGCAAGAAATATCTTGTTCTCCACGACCACCATACAAATGGGAATGCCAAAGTCCTCTGGCAATGTAGTGAGCTCAATGCGCCTTCGTAACAGGATAAAATCCGTCATGGGGTTTAGCAATCTTCCTTCCATAGGAATATGCGAGCAGTCACTTTCTAAATATTTACTGCTGCTGCCTTGATCTGCGACAAAGTGCCATACACAGCGGTTGATTTCCGACACCTTGCCCAGCATGTCTTGTCGGGTAGCATTACCTCCCCAGCGCCACTTCGCGCCCATTTTATGCCCTATCTGGGCACCGGCAGCGTTTATCACCATCGGAAGGGAATTCAGTCGAGATAAGTACGTCATGCATAGAGATACAGCAACCTCTGGCTTGTCCACAAACTCGTGAATGGCCGATGCGATCATAATCTTGGTCGCTAGCACTTTATCCTGCAATTCTTTTACCACACCAAGTGCAACTTGGGCCGCATCTCTTGCCTTGTTGAATTCTTTCCTCGCTTCTTCTGGATCTTCGTTTAAGATTTCGTAGGCATTCTCCATGAAAGCCGTCGCAGCAACCAGTTCTTTCCGCCTCAAAGCGTCTAGCTCCTCGTGAAGTTTGCGGAACTCGCTTAGGAGAAGTTGCCTTAACTTTTCATCTGTGGGGCTGCCAGTTTCCAAACGTGCGATCGCTCGATTTGCAATCAGTCCCCAAACTAATTTCAAAGATATTCGAACTAAAGCTATCTCGGCCATTTCGGGGTTAATACTCGGCACTGATCAACGACGAAGAGAGAAGAATCTGCTTTTTATTTCGCAATCTGTATCCTGGGTGGTCCCGAGTTCTTGCCAACGTGTAAAATTTGACAAGGCATCCTCTCACGTTCCATGTCGGGATCTACAGATTGTAGAAACGACATTAAAACACGACAACACAATTTAACGGGAGAGGGGTAAGAAAAGTAGAAACCACGAAAACGTTTTGATTGAGAACGATGTAACGTCAAGAAATACTATTTGGTACTCTTACACGTATCATAATACGTATCCTCTTTTATTGATAATCGCAGAAAAGGTTCTCTTTGTCTGCGTATAGACGAATTGTTCTACTGAGTCACCCCACCTAGTCAGGCACGAACTCTTCCAACACTGAGATAGACTGGGTACGAGTAAGTCTTGGGGAATCGTTGTAAGATAAGAGTCGTTGTTAAATTCTCACGCTATGGCAAAGTTCTACTTTCTGCCGGCCCTTTTTCTTATGCTGTGTTACAGTGTAGTAACTGCTGGATACGAAGGGAGGCAGATTGATCGCGAATGCAAGCCCTTCCCGTACTCGTTCTTTGAGTCGGCCTCAGTTGTGATGGATTTCGTTCGCTGGATCGCGTGGTTCTTCAGAAATTTACTCAGCGCGACTTACTTTCTGCTCAATACTGTAGTCATCACTGCCTGTGAAATCATTTCTAGCATCTTCAGCATTTTTAGACATGCCATCAAGCTGGTGGAATATCTAGGCTACTGCGTGCGAGCAATCTTGCAAGTGAACTACAACTTCGTGTCGTCTGTGTTCGTGTGGCTTGCCAAACTTGCTGGGTTCCTGACCGACACAATTCGATACATCGCCGAGGGGATAATCAGCGTGATATCTTCTACATTTCGACTTATTCTGCGCCTTATTCGTAGCATTGTATCTTCAATTCCTGCTGGATTTTACCGCGCTTTCTATGGAGCATCCTCCGCCAAAAACACCACTGGAATACTTCTGCACCAGTCATATCTGGGATGGAAATACATCTTAAAAACTCCCAGTTCAGCACTCATGACTCTCGTAACGAGCATTAGAGCTGTCATGGAGTGTATTTTAGTGTCAATGTGGAACGCTGGCGTGTTGTTGGTAGAACTGTTGTGCGCAGTCGCCCAGTCGACTTTTCGAGGAATTGAATTTGTAGGGAAATCTGTGCACACTTGTACTGTTTCAGCCTGGCATCAGATTATAACATTTTTGAATATGCTACTACATGGACTGCGATCATTAGTGATTGCAATAGGAAAGTTCTTTCTGTTTGTAGGTCGCACATTTCTGTGGCTGATTACTTTCATTTTCCGTTCCCTTGCACAAGGTGTTTCTACCTTTTTCTCAATGACTGGATGGTTGTTTGCACAGGCATTTAATTGTGTGTACAGAGGTTTGATCGAAGTTGGTAGATGGCTCCTCAGTTGCCTTATCATGCTTCAGAATGTAATAACTGCTATTGCATACTGCTTGCCTGGCGGCAGATGGACTCTCTTGAGCCTTGTTTCGAGCACCTTTTTGATTGCATATGCATGGTCTGCATTGAGAGTAAATGTGTTCACTATCGCCTATGGACTGCTGGAAAGATATATACAGGGTGTTTTAGCATATCTTGCAACTCTCCAGACTCCAAGCATGCCAAGATTTAAGAAAACGTTCCCTACTCCTGAAGAATCGTGCGAGATGCCCTTGGACGAAAAAGATAGAGACTTGAGAGAAGAGTTAGAAAGAGAACGTGACAAGAATTTATGTGTTGTCTGTCAAACAGAGAATAAGAATATTGTTGTAATGCCATGTCGTCACATGTGTATGTGCAAGAATTGTTGCACTCAGTTGTTTCGAATTCATAGATACCACAGACGGACATGTCCATTGTGTCGTCACATAATAACTTCAACCATGGAAATTTATTCATAAATTTATTCATGTATGTATGTAATTTATTCATGTATGTATGTGTGTATGTGGTCTGTGACTTGCTGTACCATTAGAGGCAATACTTGAATCAAGTTATAATTAGGTCCAGTTTAAAATCTTAGTAAAGGCTGGTTTTCACTGGTGCGTAAGAATAAGCACAAGCAACATACGCAGACACAGTAGTTTGCAGCTAAGTAGTGCCTTTTGTTAGAAGATTCTCGTAACAAAAAGACACTAATTATCAGCATCTTACTGTGTCTGTATATGTCGACTTTTGCTTATGCTTATGCACTAGTGAAAACCAGCCTTCACGAAGGACACTATTAGGCAGGAATAACATGTTATTAGAACCAGTAATGTGCCCCACAGTGTTCAGTTAGCAAGAATTGGTTCTTTGATAGGATCACCGCAATTTTGGAATAATATTCACTATTGACTTTGCACTTGTTCCCTTTGACTGGGTAAATTGAACTACTTTCAGAAATGGAAAGGGCTCAGGTCAATACTAGCCAGACTAAAACAACTTACGGTTCTACTACATTCCATGTTCAAAACAGATTTTTAATCTGCCAAAATTCATGTCTTTTTTTCAACTTGTGCAATTATTATGCATAAGGTTGTATGCACAGTCTGCCAATGTTATCATCAGCATGTGTGTTCATACAACTTTAGGAAGGCACCATTAAATGTTATTTTCAGAATCTTCATGACAATTGACAATTGAACTCTAACCTAGCAGTCAGTTGTCAATGATTTGTTAATTTGTTAGTATTTTAATTTTACTGACAACACTTAAAAAGTGTTTGTGTTGACTGTTTTGAGTGTCCCTTGTTGGTTAAAGAGAATTTTGCTAGAGTGAAATTTCATTCTCAGAGCCAGCTGTCCCTCTTAGCCAGCACAGCCTTGGCATCAGGAAAAGGTAGCTCTGAGAGACTCATGATTTGATTGGCCAGAACCTTGGACTAACATTTTCAATACTTCAATGCTGGTTTCCTTCATGAAAATATCCAGTGGCTGGTCTCTTCCTGCAACTGTTTCATTACAGACCTTCAAGAAGTTTAAAACTAACGAACAGAGACAATTTTTTGTAAGGTGCTCTTTTACAAAACATATCAATGCCAGTTCCAGCCTGAATTTCACTTCTGTTTTCATTCCCTTTGTTCCAAAGTGGTAAAGCTTTCCGAGCTCTAATCCAAGTTAGTAGAATTCTATTAGTATACTAATGCTGTAAATAAATGCTGTAATCTGATTGGCTGAGCCATTGAACAATATCAGCCATTAGTGTGCAGTTGCTGGAGGTTGTCTAGGAAATGACAACGTTTTTCCAAAGTTTTGGAGGAAAATTTTGACGCAAATGAAACAACATTTATGGTTTCTTGACTTTTAAAAAAGTTGAAATTATTGACAAAACTGATGCACATGCACACAACTTCAATTTTAAATGACAATTCAATCCAAGCAATCTTTTTCAGGCTCAAAGTTTAATAATTTGTCAAGAAATAATTGGAAACCATTATTTGAAGTAAATTTTAGTAAGAATTCTATTAAAACAATTAGATTATTCACTCTCGATTTCTCTGAGGTGATAGCTGATTCAGCCTTTGGCCTCATCAACTATCACCTCATAGAAATCTCGAGCTCATAATCTAACTGTTAATTAGAGTTGGATATTTCTGGGAATGAAACCAGCATTAATCCAAGAATCTAGCCAAGCAAGTGATGTGTCTCTAGAGCCAGCTTTTCCTCCTTTCAAGGCCTAGTCGGCCAATTGGGACAGGTTACTCTGGAGACAAGATTAGACTGTCTGGGACCCACAGCAGATGTTCATTTTATAGAGGTGTCTGTGTGACAGACTAGCCCATGTTATTGTCTTTTTGACTGTTGAGAATGAGTTGTTGACTGATTTTACTCTCTTCTCCTTTTGGTCACATTGTTTTCAAGAATTCCAGTAATTATTGATTTAGTCCATTAATAGGTTTTGAATCTAAAAATTGTGGTCAGCCCAATTTATTAGTTGCTTACCTCAGTAGTTATTCCGTTTGATTATGAAGTAAATGTTAATATACTTACACTTAGAATTTTAACAGTCAATGAATTGGCAACAAAATAAAAGAAATTGCTAATGAAGCATTGCCCAGTGCAAAAATAAGTTAGCAGTGATGCTCTGATTAAAAGGCTCGTTTTAAAGGTGGTGAAAGAGCTAGATAGAAATGATTAGGGCTGCACAGGATTATGGGAAAGTTAAAGGTGATCTCGTTCAACCCTGTCCATAACGCGATCAGAGATGAGTTCACTTTACATAATCGGTTGGGTTCGTTCTTATCTCAAGGCGTCCGCATGTGAAAAAATAAAGGCCTGATTATTATTTGAGAGATATTTAGACTGCATTGAAGTAAGTTTGCTCAAAACGAAATTAAAGCAATACGCATGAATCGCTTGGCCCCACGTCGTATTAGGACATCTAGCTCCTGTCAAATTTCGACAAGTGGTTTGCAGAGTTCTAAGTAAACCAAAATCGATTCTTAAGCCAAAGAATAGTTCTAATTTTAAGATTAGTTTAATATAAGTGAATCAGTCCATGGATTTGGTCCGCTTAGGAAAGGTGTGTGCCTATGTGTGAAAGTAAAAACATTAACATTCTTAAAAGGTTTGTATAACAAGGTGTGACTTGTCCAAGACCCAGTAGGGATTGTGTAAAAGTGATGGAAGAATTTTAAGAAAATGCTCATCACTAAACCGTACCAGCAGATTTCGTGCCTTTTCTGGGTTCTAGCTTAAGTTTAATTTAGACTTATATACTGTACAATACTGACGTGAGATACTACGCGCGCGTTCATTGGTCGATACAGGTGTGTTTAGATGAGAGTATTTAAGCATGGTTGTGACGTTTTAGATTCGCGTGTATTTTTGAGAAATATTTTATAAAAACAAGAGTACTTTTTACGTGTTTACATAGCCTCATCTAAACATTCGGGGGACTGGGAGAATTCTCGAAAGTTATGCAAACCCGAAAAGAGTCTCGGGCTTGCATAACTGTCTCGAATTCTCCCAACCCTCCTCGTGTTTAGATGAAGCCATGTAAACATGGAAAAAGTACTCTATTGCTTAAACTTGAAAGCGTACCCTAAAAGTTACCTGTGACTGTTGCAATGTAACAATCTCCAGTGGATCACCGCAAGCACTGCCAAAACACAATTAATCACCTCTTATGAAAGACACGACGAGCCGGAATCCCCTCGCTGGGATTTAAACGGTCGTTAAGGGTAACATGAAATTCGTCGTTCGGGAAAAGATATTTGTTTGTTTTCTTATTTTTTGTCTTTTGTGTTTTTTTTTTATGAAAAATATGCTGACGAGTATAATAAGACTTTCTTTCCTTTGTCTTCTCTTCACTGTTTAAATATATTTTAGGTAAAAATATATTAAATGCTTAACATGAAACCTTAGTTGTGAGGAAAGTGAAAATGAGACCTTTTTCAGATGAAATGTTCTATGCATTCTACAGACCAATGGAGGTTGGTGAAAGAAACTGAAGAAGTTTGAGAAACAATACCTGATCAAAAACATCTCAGTGTACTTGGCAAGTACTGCCATAACACCAAGGTTTAAAGGAAAGGGTAATGTAAAGTACACTACATGGAACAATTACAAAAATAAGAATAGAATTCAGGAAAAGTGCGTGTATGCTAGATCATGTTCAGGGCTGACTGAGACCCTAGTAAGGTGTCTTTACATGTATACTGCATATACAAGTGTTGCAGTCTTTTCTCNTTTTTTACTTTCACTGGTTCAAGTTAACATATTTTTGAAAGAATTGTGAGTTAAGGGTGTGATATCTCAAAATGGGCATGTAGGTGTGAGATCAAATTTTTTTTTACCTCCAGACACAAAGCTCTGCATGCCTAAGATGTGAGCATTGGTAAGATATACAGATGACTTTTAGTATCTTGACACTGTGGAAGGTTCTCTCCCCAGTAATTGTGGCTTTTATAGTGTGATTATCTGGTTGAGGGTGGTTTTGAAAAGTACAGTACTGTCATTGATGACAAATAAAGTTTGTGTTGTTAAAAGGACACAATACAAGTTAGAACCACATGATAATAACTCAGGGTGTTTAATGATGCACTCATGATTTTTCCCATGTCAGAGTTTGTCAACTCTGTCCTTTACATCATTTTAAAATTAAGTTTTGTTGTACTTTTATGTAATAGAATACACTTGATGTTGCAAAAAACAAAAATAAAACTATATATTAATAAATTATTAGCTTCATATTTCTGAACTGAGGAAGTTTGGAAGTGCTTCGTGTTAAGCATCTAAATGGCACAGGCATCAATAGCTTCAAAATTAAATGAATTTAGATGATCACAATCATTACTTAATAACAGTTCTACAGTGAAATATTTTGGCCTTGATTGGTCAATAACTAAGAGGTGGTATATGGCTATGATTATCAACATTTTATTTTGCTAAATGAAAAAACAATATCTAACTGGGGATTCGTGATTACGATAACAAACTTCTCCTCAACATGTATGTTCTTCCAACACCCGGCAACGGTTACCAGGAACTAATATTATGTTGAAAGAAATAGGAGAGGGTAATAATAATGAAAACTTTTTTTGTGAAATTCACCATCACAACTGGTTCCTGGCAACAATCTTTCATTTTCCCAGTTTGAAGAAAAATGAGAAAACAATATTGATGTCAACAACAAAAACAGCCAGTGTTTACCTTAACTCTTCAAATTCCAATAATGTTGATTCATTTTGATAAAACTATATTAAACAACTACTGTCTAAATCATTTAAGACTGAGAGAGAAGGAATTATACACAACTGTTTCTGTCAATAACACCAGTTGCCATAAAAGAGTTATTCTGTTTTACACTTTATTATACGTGACTGAAAATTTCTTCTTTATGATTGGCTGAGAGCAGACCAATTTATTGTAACCTGCATGTTTTTGTCAGTTTTCTCAGTCATATTTTAATAGAGTCATTGCACCAAACCTTGAGCAATTAATAAAAGATTTACACTACTCTTGATAATTGAAAAATTCTTCAAATTGCACTCGGCTAACAGCTTATGCAATTTTGAGATAATTTTCAAAAACCACTTTTGGTGTGAATCTTAACTGCACTCACATTCATACAATTACCTATACTTATAAGAATTAGATTTGCACATATACTGTATGAACACAGGACTGGATCACACCTGGGTCAGGTAAAACTCCCTTTGAGACTTTGCCCCAAAGTTAAACACATTCAGTAACTAACAGAGTTTCTTTTGCAGACCATTTTTGTATTAGGNTACATGGACTGCGATCATTAGTGATTGCAATAGGAAAGTTCTTTCTGTTTGTAGGTCGCACATTTCTGTGGCTGATTACTTTCATTTTCCGTTCCCTTGCACAAGGTGTTTCTACCTTTTTCTCAATGACTGGATGGTTGTTTGCACAGGCATTTAATTGTGTGTACAGAGGTTTGATCGAAGTTGGTAGATGGCTCCTCAGTTGCCTTATCATGCTTCAGAATGTAATAACTGCTATTGCATACTGCTTGCCTGGCGGCAGATGGACTCTCTTGAGCCTTGTTTCGAGCACCTTTTTGATTGCATATGCATGGTCTGCATTGAGAGTAAATGTGTTCACTATCGCCTATGGACTGCTGGAAAGATATATACAGGGTGTTTTAGCATATCTTGCAACTCTCCAGACTCCAAGCATGCCAAGATTTAAGAAAACGTTCCCTACTCCTGAAGAATCGTGCGAGATGCCCTTGGACGAAAAAGATAGAGACTTGAGAGAAGAGTTAGAAAGAGAACGTGACAAGAATTTATGTGTTGTCTGTCAAACAGAGAATAAGAATATTGTTGTAATGCCATGTCGTCACATGTGTATGTGCAAGAATTGTTGCACTCAGTTGTTTCGAATTCATAGATACCACAGACGGACATGTCCATTGTGTCGTCACATAATAACTTCAACCATGGAAATTTATTCATAAATTTATTCATGTATGTATGTAATTTATTCATGTATGTATGTGTGTATGTGGTCTGTGACTTGCTGTACCATTAGAGGCAATACTTGAATCAAGTTATAATTAGGTCCAGTTTAAAATCTTAGTAAAGGCTGGTTTTCACTGGTGCGTAAGAATAAGCACAAGCAACATACGCAGACACAGTAGTTTGCAGCTAAGTAGTGCCTTTTGTTAGAAGATTCTCGTAACAAAAAGACACTAATTATCAGCATCTTACTGTGTCTGTATATGTCGACTTTTGCTTATGCTTATGCACTAGTGAAAACCAGCCTTCACGAAGGACACTATTAGGCAGGAATAACATGTTATTAGAACCAGTAATGTGCCCCACAGTGTTCAGTTAGCAAGAATTGGTTCTTTGATAGGATCACCGCAATTTTGGAATAATATTCACTATTGACTTTGCACTTGTTCCCTTTGACTGGGTAAATTGAACTACTTTCAGAAATGGAAAGGGCTCAGGTCAATACTAGCCAGACTAAAACAACTTACGGTTCTACTACATTCCATGTTCAAAACAGATTTTTAATCTGCCAAAATTCATGTCTTTTTTTCAACTTGTGCAATTATTATGCATAAGGTTGTATGCACAGTCTGCCAATGTTATCATCAGCATGTGTGTTCATACAACTTTAGGAAGGCACCATTAAATGTTATTTTCAGAATCTTCATGACAATTGACAATTGAACTCTAACCTAGCAGTCAGTTGTCAATGATTTGTTAATTTGTTAGTATTTTAATTTTACTGACAACACTTAAAAAGTGTTTGTGTTGACTGTTTTGAGTGTCCCTTGTTGGTTAAAGAGAATTTTGCTAGAGTGAAATTTCATTCTCAGAGCCAGCTGTCCCTCTTAGCCAGCACAGCCTTGGCATCAGGAAAAGGTAGCTCTGAGAGACTCATGATTTGATTGGCCAGAACCTTGGACTAACATTTTCAATACTTCAATGCTGGTTTCCTTCATGAAAATATCCAGTGGCTGGTCTCTTCCTGCAACTGTTTCATTACAGACCTTCAAGAAGTTTAAAACTAACGAACAGAGACAATTTTTTGTAAGGTGCTCTTTTACAAAACATATCAATGCCAGTTCCAGCCTGAATTTCACTTCTGTTTTCATTCCCTTTGTTCCAAAGTGGTAAAGCTTTCCGAGCTCTAATCCAAGTTAGTAGAATTCTATTAGTATACTAATGCTGTAAATAAATGCTGTAATCTGATTGGCTGAGCCATTGAACAATATCAGCCATTAGTGTGCAGTTGCTGGAGGTTGTCTAGGAAATGACAACGTTTTTCCAAAGTTTTGGAGGAAAATTTTGACGCAAATGAAACAACATTTATGGTTTCTTGACTTTTAAAAAAGTTGAAATTATTGACAAAACTGATGCACATGCACACAACTTCAATTTTAAATGACAATTCAATCCAAGCAATCTTTTTCAGGCTCAAAGTTTAATAATATGTCAAGAAATAATTGGAAACCATTATTTGAAGTAAATTTTAGTAAGAATTCTATTAAAACAATTAGATTATTCACTCTCGATTTCTCTGAGGTGATAGCTGATTCAGCCTTTGGCCTCATCAACTATCACCTCATAGAAATCTCGAGCTCATAATCTAACTGTTAATTAGAGTTGGATATTTCTGGGAATGAAACCAGCATTAATCCAAGAATCTAGCCAAGCAAGTGATGTGTCTCTAGAGCCAGCTTTTCCTCCTTTCAAGGCCTAGTCGGCCAATTGGGACAGGTTACTCTGGAGACAAGATTAGACTGTCTGGGACCCACAGCAGATGTTCATTTTATAGAGGTGTCTGTGTGACAGACTAGCCCATGTTATTGTCTTTTTGACTGTTGAGAATGAGTTGTTGACTGATTTTACTCTCTTCTCCTTTTGGTCACATTGTTTTCAAGAATTCCAATAATTATTGATTTAGTCCATTAATAGGTTTTGAATCTAAAAATTGTGGTCAGCCCAATTTATTAGTTGCTTACCTCAGTAGTTATTCCGTTTGATTATGAAGTAAATGTTAATATACTTACACTTAGAATTTTAACAGTCAATGAATTGGCAACAAAATAAAAGAAATTGCTAATGAAGCATTGCCCAGTGCAAAAATAAGTTAGCAGTGATGCTCTGATTAAAAGGCTCGTTTTAAAGGTGGTGAAAGAGCTAGATAGAAATGATTAGGGCTGCACAGGATTATGGGAAAGTTAAAGGTGATCTCGTTCAACCCTGTCCATAACGCGATCAGAGATGAGTTCACTTTACATAATCGGTTGGGTTCGTTCTTATCTCAAGGCGTCCGCATGTGAAAAAATAAAGGCCTGATTATTATTTGAGAGATATTTAGACTGCATTGAAGTAAGTTTGCTCAAAACGAAATTAAAGCAATACGCATGAATCGCTTGGCCCCACGTCGTATTAGGACATCTAGCTCCTGTCAAATTTCGACAAGTGGTTTGCAGAGTTCTAAGTAAACCAAAATCGATTCTTAAGCCAAAGAATAGTTCTAATTTTAAGATTAGTTTAATATAAGTGAATCAGTCCATGGATTTGGTCCGCTTAGGAAAGGTGTGTGCCTATGTGTGAAAGTAAAAACATTAACATTCTTAAAAGGTTTGTATAACAAGGTGTGACTTGTCCAAGACCCAGTAGGGATTGTGTAAAAGTGATGGAAGAATTTTAAGAAAATGCTCATCACTAAACCGTACCAGCAGATTTCGTGCCTTTTCTGGGTTCTAGCTTAAGTTTAATTTAGACTTATATACTGTACAATACTGACGTGAGATACTACGCGCGCGTTCATTGGTCGATACAGGTGTGTTTAGATGAGAGTATTTAAGCATGGTTGTGACGTTTTAGATTCGCGTGTATTTTTGAGAAATATTTTATAAAAACAAGAGTACTTTTTACGTGTTTACATAGCCTCATCTAAACATTCGGGGGACTGGGAGAATTCTCGAAAGTTATGCAAACCCGAAAAGAGTCTCGGGCTTGCATAACTGTCTCGAATTCTCCCAACCCTCCTCGTGTTTAGATGAAGCCATGTAAACATGGAAAAAGTACTCTATTGCTTAAACTTGAAAGCGTACCCTAAAAGTTACCTGTGGCTGTTGCAATGTAACAATCTCCAGTGGATCACCGCAAGCACTGCCAAAACACAATTAATCACCTCTTATGAAAGGCACGACGAGCTGGAATCCCCTCGCTGGGATTTAAACGGTCGTTAAGGGTAACATGAAATTCGTCGTTCGGGAACAAGATATTTGTTTGTTTTCTTATTTTTTGTCTTTTGTGTTTTTTTTTTATGAAAAATATGCTGACGAGTATAATAAGACTTTCTTTCCTTTGTCTTCTCTTCACTGTTTAAATATATTTTAGGTAAAAATATATTAAATGCTTAACATGAAACCTTAGTTGTGAGGAAAGTGAAAATGAGACCTTTTTCAGATGAAATGTTCTATGCATTCTACAGACCAATGGAGGTTGGTGAAAGAAACTGAAGAAGTTTGAGAAACAATACCTGATCAAAAACATCTCAGTGTACTTGGCAAGTACTGCCATAACACCAAGGTTTAAAGGAAAGGGTAATGTAAAGTACACTACATGGAACAATTACAAAAATAAGAATAGAATTCAGGAAAAGTGCGTGTATGCTAGATCATGTTCAGGGCTGACTGAGACCCTAGTAAGGTGTCTTTACATGTATACTGCATATACAAGTGTTGCAGTCTTTTCTCCACTCTTTTGAGTCTTTTCTCCACACATGACGTTCTTATTATTATTCTCCTATCTGATGCAGCTGCAAGATAGTGGAAGTTACAAGTAGCTGATTGGCAATATTTTTCGTCCTTTGACAAGGCTTTCTGGGAATCTCAATTAACACCAGAGGCCAAGTTTAATTTGTGGCTGGGCTGTATTGACATACTCTTTTGGTTGGCGCTAGACGTTCTGAATTTTGAGGCGATGTTATCATTTTCAGTTTCCAATTTTAAAAATGTGATGCGCTCACTTTGTACATGAACACACCCACATCACTATTATATGATGATAATGTTGATTCACCTGCACGTTACAGTGTGAACAAAATGTTCATATTCTTGATTAATACTGTTTTTCACAACAAATTTAGTTAAAAAAAAAAATAGCAAGAGTTTTTACCCACATTTCAGACTTGGGTTTGCTATTAATATGTTCGTAAGGTTTAGGGCAATCCCATCCTCAACGTTCACATAAAAAGGTTATTATACAAAAAAACGAATTATGGTCACCTAACAACGCCCAGTACAATTTGTAATGTAAACACATTATACAAAAGAAATACAGACACTGTTTGTCAAATGTTCTGCGTGTCTAACTGCAGTGTAAATATAATAAAAAAAAATGTAACATTTGTTCCTCAGGTGCGCTATCGGTTCGGAGAGAGCTCTTCCAACCTACTGAACGGTGCTTTAATTTGCTGCTCGCATTTGAAGGTAAGTGGGTGCTAGCAACTTGGTAGGGATGGTCTCGATTTCGCTATGAAAACCGGAGTTTTTCCACGGAGAAATGGTGCATGCTGCGCCATTTCTCCGTGGATCAGTATGGGTTCTGATCAGTATGGGTTCTGATTGTGAATTAAACAAAGTGAGCATTTAGTTTGTATTTCCTCGCTAGAAAAGAAAAGCCAAGCACAAGTCCACTTTCGTCGACGTGGTCAGTTAATGTTAACCAAACTGTGATGAAAGCCTCAAAATGAAGTGAGAAGACTACCCTCGGGTAAGGTGTGCGTACAAAGAGGCAGCCGCAGGGCGCCTTGAGCGTGAAAGCAAAAAAACAAAAATTATCACGCCCACCTACGCTAAATACGAAAGAAATAGGCAAATCATACGGAAGCCGACCACACGCTTGAGTCAATATTGAACAAAATCGCTCACGCAAATAAAAAGACATCGAACGCCAATAAGTAACCCATCACACACGCGCGCAATATAGATCAAAGAAACAAGCCATACTCGCGTATACCCAAAAAATCAGGCGCTATTGCTTCTATAGGAAATTAAAGACCCCCGCGCGCAGCAATTCCTAGTAAAGAAGCCAACCACATACGCCTATGCCCAAGCTTAACAAAGAAACAACCCATTTGCGAGCAAGCCAACGTGGAACACAATATCGCGCGCGCGCCTGTGTAGAGAAACGTAACAAGCGCGCACCAGTAAGGAACTGAGAAACAAACTACGCGCGCAGGCCAATATAGAACAAGAAATGCAATGACACTGATGCCAATGAAAATTAATGAGTTTAAGGTCTGTTAGAATGAATAAACTTCAAGGAAGTGTCACAATAAGTTATCTTTTTGAGTGGTAGTAACTCAAAGGAGGAAGAGAGGACGGGAGAGAAAAGGGTTGGCTCAGTTTCATTAAAATATGATGTCACATGTTAGTAAATTCATAAATTCATTAATATATCATGAACAGGTTCAAGTCAAGATAAGATTTTATCATGGAGACATCATTCAAGTCGCTAACGGGGATTATGATGCTTTTGATGGTGAGTACCGAGTTATGTGTCAGTAGCAGAGCTTATTCAAAATATTGAGTCGGGAAACAGGAAACTCGCTTGAAAAAGGACAACAGATGATGCCTTCTATTTACCCATGTATCCTAAGATCATTATAGAGTTACCTCAAATAAGGCAGATACCTTTACCAGCTGTCAATCAAATTAAATGTGATCGAACGTACTGAGAAAAAAATAAAGAAAGGGTTGTCAAAAATCAATATCGAATTAAACTTTCAAATCGAGCCAAAGTTTCTTTTTATAATGTTCTAATGCGTGCTTTTTTTTTAACAAATATAAATGTAAGAGGATCCTGCTGAGTCAAACTTTTCAGAATATCCTTTTCGCATGTACAGTTTCTATGTTAATAACACGGTAAGATTGTTTAAAACCAAGCTTTCCTTCTATTTACAGATCGTTACTTAACAAGCAAAAAGAATCCGTTTTATAGACGATATAATTCCCCCAGTTTCAAAGTCAAGATCAAGATTATGTTCTGTTTTTGATTCTTTTCGATCCCGGCCGAACTCAGCCAAACTCCGAATCTAAATGAGTTGTAAAAAGTACTGATATCAGATCGAATCACATAAACGTCACCAGGGTGCATACAGACTTCAAAATTCCCCTCACAAGATACCCTCTCTCCCGCCATTTCTGTAAAGGTTTCTTCATACATCAATTCGCTTGAACCAGCGTGTTTTTGCATTATGTTGCGTTCAATTAATTTCTTTCTTATCCGCTCTCAGAGCTTCAGGAATTATCAAGTTTCTGGTCACTCAAATGAAGGTATGGTTCGCCAATTAGATTCCCGCTAGAGAACAAAAAAAAGACATTCATGTTAAACTGTTAAGGCGTTAAAGCTTAAACTCTGGTTTACTCTATCAAAATAAGGTCATATTCATGTATATTGATCTACTTATTAACACGTTTAAACTGATACCTTGGGAAAACGTATAGGTAGAGCTTACATCTAAAAGCTCTACGATACGTTTTCATCCGTTGATATACCAGCAAATGGATTGTGATTCTTTCAGAGAGCGAGGTACACGGCCATTGGTTGCTAAATGGATCTGATCCAGATGTAAGGTCAGTAAAGAATGACACTTTCTCATTTGATTTCTCAACCTTTCTCAGGTTCATGTAGAAAACGGTTCTGAAGTTGAACCTGAACTCCATAATCAAACTGAAGTGGTAGTTTTCTTCTTCGCAGGTATTTTGGTCCTGTCACGTTTACACAGGGCCGATTTCGAGGCAGTAAGGTGCCGTACTTTAATACTACGGATTCCTACGCAACAGTACCTAACATGAACATTTCAGACTGCGATTTCACTATTGCGTGTTGGATAAGAGTACGTCCTAGTGGCCGTGGTGTCGCATTCGTCACTTCCATCATCTTCTGGTCAATCAGCGTCAGAGGAAACCCGCTTTCCTTAACATTGTCAAAGTATGTTGAACACGGTGGAATCTCTTTCGTTTTGAAGCAAATGTTCCGTCCTCTGAACTATACAAGTGCTATTTCCACTACGCGGAAAATTCCCTTTGATGAGTGGACGCATATAGCTGCAACCTGTCAGGAAAATAGGATCCGAATGTACGTGAACGGTGACCAACAAAGATCATACGTAAGGAACATACCTTTCCCAATAACCGATGACTTTTCAACTGATATGTCTTCTGAAGAGTTGAAGTCGTATTATATTGGAAAAGATCCTCGGAAAGAATTCTTCAGCAGTAGGAAGTTCTATGGGTCAGTTATGGATCTCCATGTCATTGGAGTTACTTTGTCTTCTGCTGAAATCTCCGACTTATACTGCGGTAAGATTGCTTGACTTCTTTATGTTTAAAACAAATTCTAGCTGACTGCAACAACATGCGTAGCCAAGCTCTTGGCGTCTGCTGATTGTATCCGGGGGGTACTCCCTATAATAGTCTATACAGGGAAGCTCCGGCCGTAAGGGGTACCTTTTCCAGGCTTCACTGAGGTATATAAAACGGAAGTGATTTCACAAGTTGAGATATATGAAGGGGTATAGGGAAGTTCGTCTTTTAGTTATTTTAAAGGGCCTTTGATTAAAATTTTTCGAACAGACGCACCTCATGGTGTATCATTTAATTTATTAAGCACTGCATGAAAGTGACAAGAAGACTTCCTTTTTTGCTATTTATTCATAATACGGACCAGTTATGAAAGTATGTGAAGGGGTACCTTTTTTCAATTAAAGGTATACGAAAGGGTTATCTTTTCTGTCAAAATGGTATACAAAAGTGGTAGGACCTCGGGGTGGAGGCTTCCTATATAGAACTTTATAGAGTACCCCCCACGGGGGGAATTGTATGTCCTTACCTTGAATTTGGCCGGATACGAGTACTTCGTTTTGATTTATTCAGTAGCTCTTTCAACGATTTTTCCACCGTACAGATATCCCGCGGATCATAAACCATACAGACGAAGTAAGTGGAAGCACTGTTCGGGTCACGTGGGAGCAGCCATCTTGCTCGGTTGTAAATTCGAAGAACGTTATTTTTTACAGAGAAGTAACCAGAACAAGTAGGGGAAAGTGGAATACAGTCAATGTGTCGCAGGATGCAACTCACTACAATGTTCAGTTAGAATGCTTCAAGGAATACCAGTTAGCAGTTTCCACTTGGTACGCTAATGCACGGCTTCCCAGTAAACTATGGAAGGTCAAGACCGGAATAGGTATAAATTTTAATCAATATGCTTCTAATTTTAAGCTTAACAGCTTACAAGACCATGCATAAGCTAATGTCGTTATGCTTAAACATGTCAGTAATGATTATATCGATCAAGTCCCTTTATTTTCTTTTGTATCGGTCTAATGATTACTTTAATAATCTTGAGACTAGACTTGATTCTGGGACAAACGTGTGCACGGAAAATATAGAAGTAATAAAGCAAATGAATGCAAACATTAATTTAACCAACAAATGACTCCCACTGATATTTATTTACTCTGAAATTACAGCACACGCGACCTGATTAGTTACACCATTAGCTACAATTGGTATGTTTGAAATTACATAAAGATGGCTAAAGCTCTATTCAGTTTGTTTATTCTTTTCCTTTCCTTTATTTCATAAACTACTTATACTGAATTTTGCAACTTGCATTTCTGCGTTGGTTACTGTTTAACAAATCGATTCCACGGCAACATGAAAAAAATGTTAATGACGTCATCCGACTATACGTCTGTCCTCCATCAGATCATAAGTAAAAACCAATCAAAATGAGAGGATAATTTGACGTATCACATAGTTTAAATTAGACTACGAAATAACATCACAGCACAATCAGAGATAGCCACCAAGAGAGATGAAATTATATGTATAGTTTCTGCTCCAGCTTGCGCTTGCCAATTAGCCACATTATAAAACGATGATAAGAAATCTACGGCGAGTTTCTTTTCGCAGTCCCTCGTGGGACCGTTACTGGTGACAGAATGACTTCTCATGACTTCTCATCTTTTGTTTTGTCTGTTTTTGTCCCAATACAGTAACGGTCCCGCAAGCGACTGCGAGATGAGACTCGCCCCAGATTTCTTCTGAAGTGACGAATTGGAATGGGCAATAACTGTCTGATTCTTTCAGGGCGTTTTAGACTACGAGTAGTCCCTCTTTCGCTTAGTCCGTTAAGTTGTGCATGGCGCGAAAGCAAACCACGAGAACTCGGTTTAGTATTTATTTTTCATATTTTAAGGCCAACTGCCACCTCCCGTAATTAACAACAAAGAAAAGGAAATAAATAGCTGCAAGGTGAACACCACATGGAGTCCTCCAAGGAATATTAAATGTCCTCTATCGATGTACATAATACACTACAGAAAAGTGCCTTCACTCGGTCATGAAGCTGACTGGATGCAAATCAGAGTTACCAATATTACAAACACATTTCATCTTGTCCAACTTGATTGTGGCACACAGTACGAAATTCAAATGACTGTTGCCAATGAACTTGGTGAAAGTAACATGTCAAACTCTTGGCGAGTTAAAACAAAGTCAGACGTAAAAGGTAGGTATGTTTTAAGTATTTTTTGGGGGGGCTCTTTTTCTGTCCTTGTTTTTCCCAAAAGAATGCAGTGGAAAGAGTACATGTAAGCCGAGAGCTTTCTTCTTTGCTTGAGTTCTGAGGCTTTCATATCAACCACTTCATTTATGTTATTAATCAGTACTTTTTTAGACAGAAGGAAGAATTCCAGATATGTGTAGAAATGTACTCTTATCAATGTCGTAAATGGGGTGGTTGAGAGAAGCGGGGAGGGGATGGTGGTGGAGTATGGATGAAAACAGAGGAATTATTGAATAACTGAATGACTGATTGATTGATTAATTGATTGATTGATTGATTGATTGATTGATTGATTGATTGATTGATTGAT